TGAAATTTGATATTTCGTCTAAAATTTTGCTGTATTATTTTTTATCCATGGGAACACTGATTTTAGTCTGTGTCATGACTGGCTGTACGTTTTGATTCTGCAAAATTCTTGCTACTGGAAATTCAGAACTTTTTTGAGGGTACCGGTAGCGTCAAAGGTACCGGTAAGGACTGGTTCGTTCTGGTCTGACGTGTCCATATATTTGTGCGTAGCTCTCTTGTTTTCATAGGGACGACGAACATTATATTCCTTTTTCACGGCAACAATGCCATTACATATTAGGCATATAGCATTTTGATCATTTGATTCTATAAAGAAACATTTCTCTCCCCATTCTTTATTGAAAATACGACATTCTGCATCTCATTTTAGTGGACATGATGACTGGTGAAGAAAAAATATATACTATTGAGCAGTACGTGAGAGATTACAGTAAGATTTGCGCAACATGCACGTTCGACGCTAATTTTAGCCAGGGTTGCCAGATCCCAGCGATCAAAAAAAGCCAAATCAAGACGACAAAAAGCCAACAATTTTATCAAGTACAAAAGCCCCTTGATATGTCTGATGTGATACTATTGGCACAATAATGGGTTTGTAAAAGGATTAATTTTCAAGGACAAAAGTCTTTAGCGCAGCCACAGAATAACCACCGGCAGTCCGGCTCTCTTGGTTGGTTTTGGTTGTTCAATGATATGCGGTCACCATGGCGACCGCGGCCTGTCGTGTCTGGAGTTGCTTTCTTTCGTTATTATCCGGGTTACCGGGTCGCTTAATGGCGTCTCAAGTCCGGCTTTCGTTAGTATTTTATGTTTGACTTCTTTCTCATTATGATTTAATATTAGACTTACTGCCTCAAAGGTGACGCTGCTCGATAACCTTCTCTGGTTTATCGCGTCTCCCTTCACACTGAAATGTAATTTTTCATTTTTTCAATTTTGTTCGTCAATGTTTACATTCGGTTTGTGATAAAATAAACTACTGACTGACTGACTGAATGGCAGCACCAGAAATTACACTCGACACAATGCAGTCAAGCTGACATCTATATGAAAAAGTTAAAAAAAAATAAAAATCAAGCGGACAGCATCAGTGTGAGATACCCCTATACCTTGAAACATTCTCCCTAAACATTTTGAAACCGTCATTTTTATTCAAAAAAATTATCTAACCACGTGCCGGTTACAGGTGAACTACTGATAGCTAATTTTAGCGTAGTTCGTGAGACAAAATTTTGACTACTGCAACTGAACTAAAGCTTCTGGTATTGCATAATGACAATTAAGTTTTGCAAGTATTTTTGGGAAACAAAACTAAAACCTGACAAATAACATCCAAAATTATAAAGACGAGGTAATGTTTACAAACCTGTGTAGCGTACCGGCAGTCTATGTAATAATTATCCAAGTTCAGAATATCTTCCAATATGATCTGACGTCAAGTTTCCTCCCAATATTCACTTCAATTTATACTATTTTGTTCTATTTATTAATTACAATCTTAATACAACCAAATACTCCAATGAAATCAATGAAACGAAAAGCATACAATAAAAATAACAAATACCAGGCAGTACAATATGAGAAAACAATAAAAATTAAAGACGGACTCTGAAATCAAAGACAACTTTCAATAGCAGCCAGAATAATCCCTATAATACGGTACACTAAACCAGCTACTTACAATTTGCAAAATAGGCTGAGAATAACCCATGAGGGGCACTTTAAAAAACCCACAAACAATTCCACAGGTGCACAAGATTTGAACAGCACTGTTGATAGCCGCCAATTTCATGAATAAACTAAAAATACAACGCCAAAACAACTGTAATTGCACTGTACCGGTACTAAAACCATAATATCATCTACTGTCTAGCATCAAAATATCTAACAATCCCAATCTAATAGTCATAAAACCAAGAGTAAACATCTTTGATAACCTACTTGAGACTTAGAGGCACTTTTGCAGATATAAAATACTCTTAAACACTCAAAATCTAACTGAAACAATCACAACTGCACTGCTGCAAATCACAGCATAGGCTAACAGGATACCAAAAAACAAATCGACAGTGTCAAAGCGCCCTCAGTGTTAAAATACAAAATATAGCAATATTATCACATGAATGACAACATTTAAAAGATAAAACAAGGGTCGTCACATTACCCCCCTCTTCTAGATGGAACATTATGACAGAATGTTTTCATCTTCATTAGAAAAATTAAACAACGAAAGAAGCAGTAGTCAACACAAAATATTTACACAAAGTCTTTAAAATATGCAGGTTGTCTACGCTCACGCTTAGACATCCTTAAAGTTTGTCCTTGTCCTCGTACCAAGGTATTATTTCCTCACAAGGCTGAAGATCCGCCCCTCCTGGTGTGTGTTCCGCAGAATTCGCCTCTTCCGATGTCTGTCCCCCCGAATCCGGCGCTTCTGGTGGGTGTTCCCCCCAATCCGCCGGGCTATCATCTAGGCAAGCACCGGGTTCCTGGGTCTCTTCATGAAAAAAAGGTCGCAAATTATCCACACGAACCACACGCGTCTTGTCGCCTGGATTCCGTTGTATCTCATAAGTGTGATTTGAGAGACATCTCCTAACTGTGAATGGACCCTGCCATGGAGAACTCAGCTTCTTCTTCTTGGGTGGGTAATAGTACCATACAAGGTCTCCCTCTTCAAACTTCTGTGGTTGCACATGAACATCAAAATTTCTCTTCTGTCGCAAGGCAGCTTGATTCAACTGATTTCTGGCACATACAAAAGATCCCTCAGTGACATCTTTAAACCATTCCACATATTCGGTATAACAAGAATGTAGAGGAGTTTGAGTCGGACGTCCATACATGACATCGATAGGGAGGTCAATCTCTCGGCCAAGCATAAGACGATTGGGTGTAAACTGCGTACTTTCATGCACTGTAGCTCTGTAAGCCATGCACAGATAGGGAACATGGTCATCCCAATCGTCTCGATGATCGTTCACATAAGGCTTGAGCATTTGCTGAATCGTTCGATTAAACCTCTCCACTTGTCCATCGGATCGAGGGTGATAAAGTGTTGTATGCGTCTTGACTATACCGTACAAGTCGCACATCTCGGTGAACAACCGAGATTCAAAATCTCGACCCTGATCAGTGTGAATAATCCGAGGAACTCCAAATCTTGCGAAGAACTGGGTGACCAGCACATCGGCTGTTACCTCTGCAGTCTGATTGGGAAGTGGATAACACTCCACCCACTTGGTGAAATAATCTGATAGCACCAGAAGATGTTCATTTCCATTCTTGGTACGTGGTAGTGGTCCCAAGAAATCCATTGCGACCCGTTCCATGGGAGATCCGCAGAGCAGTTGTCGTAGATACCCCTGTTTGCGCCCGTGAGTCATCTTAGCCGCAGCGCAAGGTTTGCAAAACCGGCACCAGAGCAAAATATCTCTTTTATAACCAGGCCAGTAAAAACGAGCACGAACACTCTTGAATGTTTTAATAGAGCCTAAATGTCCGGAGGTACGGGCACTGTGTAAATGCTGGAAGATTTCTCTTCTCAATGCCCCAGGAATGCAAAATTGATAGGCGGGAGCACTAGTCAATGTTTCGGGTATCCACTTGCGATACAAAATTTCACCAGTCAAATATAGCAAATGCCATTGAGCTAGATAACGCTTGGTCTCTAGAGATTCATGCATATAATCCTGTGGCTGGGGTTTATGATATGAACGGCGCTTCCAGGCAATAACTGCAGAAAGATGAGGGTCCTCGGCTTGGCAAGTTCGAATCCTTTCCTCCGTGTATGTGTCCATCCAGTTACAGCTTGTTGGTATCCCAGGCAAGTCAGCATTATACAGAGGTGCTACTACACGAACATTGATATCAGGTTTCTGTGAAGTAGACACACAATCTGGGCAGTCCGAGCGCTTACAGCGTCTGGTTTGACGAGATAGACCATCGGCATTACCATGTTTAGTCCCTGCTCGATGTTCAATGCTGAAATCATACGTGAACAGTGTAGAGATCCAGCGAGCCACCTTCCCTTCGGGTTCTCGGAAATTTAAAAGCCACTTCAAGGCACCATGATCAGTGCGAATCAAAAAGTGCCTTCCCCACAAATAATGGCGAAAATGTCGTACGGATTGAATAACTGCCAACAACTCCCTTTCAGTGGTACAGTATCGGCGTTCCGTCTTGGATAGAGTTCTGCTGAAATAAGCAATAACATGTTCTTCCCCATCTTGCAATTGTGATAACACAGCACCAGTAGCAGAGCCACTTGCGTCGGTGTCCAAAATAAACTCTCCCTGAACCAATGGAAAAGCCAGGATAGGAGCAGATGTCAAAAGACGCTTAATGATTCCACATGCTTCCTGACAGTCACCACTCCACTCAAACTTCACATTCTTTCGAGTCAAGCGGACTAAAGGCGACGCTATAGTGGCATAACCTGGTACAAAACGTCTATAATAGTTGGCAGTTCCCAAGAAACTTCTAACATCTGATACCCCCTGAGGTGTTTCCCACTCGACTATAGCTGCTACATTGTGAGAATCACAGCGAACCCCTTCAGCAGAAATTTCGTACCCCAGGTAGGTAACTGATCTACGAAACAACTGGCATTTAGTCGGCTTGAGTTTCAAACCAGCACCCTGAAGTCGAAGGAAAACCTCCCGCAAACTGCTCAATGAAGTGTCAAAATCGGATCCGTGGGCTAAAACATCATCCAAATAATTAGAACATCCTTTCCCGATAATTCCACCCAACACTCGATCCATCATCCGCTCGAAGGTTGCAGGTGCATTGGATAGACCAAAGGGCATGACTACAAATTGATAGTGTCCTTTTCCCGGAAGACTGAAAGCAGTTTTCGCTCTGTCCGACGGATCAACTTCCACCTGCCAGTAGCCACTAGCCAAGTCAAGCGTCGAGAACCAACTTGACCCGCTAAGGGACTCCACGATGTCATCGATACGAGGTAAAGGGTAAGCGTCCTTGTACGTGATTGAATTAAGTAATCTGAAATCGATACAAAAAACGAGTAGTGCCGTCTTTTTTTGGTATCAGAACAATGGGTGACGAGTATGGACTGTCACTCAGCTCAATAACCCCTTGATCCAGCATCTTGTCAACAGCATCCTCTGCTATTTGTCTCCTTGCCCAGCCCAAACGTCGTGGAGCCTGCCGAATAGGCTGCGGTGTTGTAGTTACTATGTGATGGCGAGCAACCGATGTACGCCCGAGTTCTCCATCGGGGCCGACAAATATGTCCTTAAACTCTCTTAACAAAAAAAACAATTGTCGGTACTGATCAGCCGAAATTCCTTCCGTCGATGTAATCAAGTCCTGAAGATGGTCAGGTAATCCATTGAATTCTTCCGCCGTTTCAGAGACTGGCGCCACCATTGTTTCACGGACAAAGTATGGTTGAGCGATGCCAATTAAAGATCCTGTGGGTAGGACAGCATCATAGTCGGTCTCATTGTTCATCCAAACGGGTACCTCCTTCTTAGACGGGTCAACCAACGTCAGCGAAGCGACCAAATTGAGGTTGCCTATCTCCACTGGCTCAACAACGGCTACTATGTTAGGTCTCTGGACGGGCCACGGCTGCTGTAGCTGAGCGAGTACAACAATTCCAGAGCGTGCCGGTATTACCACATCCTCCTCTACCGTCACACGACAGCAAGGAACCGATGTTTGTTGCTGCACAGTAACATCTTGTCCCCCAAGAACAAAGCGACCCAACGAGGGATACAGAACACAGTCCCATTTGCCAAGATAGTCCATACCTAGAATGCCCAGCCGTGACCCTAGATCAGCGACAACAACCGTGTGCTCCACAGACCAGCTTTCAATCGTCAAGTTGACATCAAGTGCACCATGAGACACTAATGACTCGCCACTGGCAGTACGCAGTGGTACTTGAAAAGAATGCAGTTCTGGAATGTACGAATTTTTCTGTAACATCGAGTAAATAGCGGTGTCAATGAGCGAGACACCCGCACCGGTATCAATCAAAAACAAAACAGGCACGTTATTGACCAAAGCCTTGACATGCCATCCATTAGTCCATGTAAGAGAAGAAATCATAGTCGAGAGAAGTGGGTCCATATCATCATCTAAAATCATGTTAGCAGGGAGTGCGGACCTCATCCCTGCTGTTCCGAGTTTAAAGACTGGTTGGGAGTGGGAGCACTACTTACTGGTCTTTGTTCAGTGGTCTGAACATAACACTGTTTTACATCATTCCAAGTTCATCTACTGCTCCTTCGATTTCTTCTACTCGCGCTTCCATTGTTGTCCATTTAGCCTCCAGTACCTTCATTCGAGCAACGAAGTCATCCTCTCTCTTCATTTGAGCGTTCTTTCTATTTCTGCGTGACATAATATGTTTAGAAGATATCCTGGCGTGCTCTCGCCAAATTTTGTAGCGTACCGGCAGTCTATGTAATAATTATCCAAGTTCAGAATATCTTCCAATATGATCTGACGTCAAGTTTCCTCCCAATATTCACTTCAATTTATACTATTTTGTTCTATTTATTAATTACAATCTTGATACAACCAAATACTCCAATGAAATCAATGAAACGAAAAGCATACAATAAAAATAACAAATACCAGGCAGTACAATATGAGAAAACAATAAAAATTAAAGACGGACCCTGAAATCAAAGACAACTTTCAATAGCAGCCAGAATAATCCCTATAATACGGTACACTAAACCAGCTACTTACAATTTGCAAGCATCATAGTCGGTCTCATTGTTCATCCAAACGGGTACCTCCTTCTTAGACGGGTCAACCAACGTCAGCGAAGCGACCAAATTGAGGTTGCCTATCTCCACTGGCTCAACAACGGCTACTATGTTAGGTCTCTGGACGGGCCACGGCTGCTGTAGCTGAGCGAGTACAACAATTCCAGAGCGTGCCGGTATTACCACATCCTCCTCTACCGTCACACGACAGCAAGGAACCGATGTTTGTTGCTGCACAGTAACATCTTGTCCCCCAAGAACAAAGCGACCCAACGAGGGATACAGAACACAGTCCCATTTGCCAAGATAGTCCATACCTAGAATGCCCATCCGTGACCCTAGATCAGCGACAACAACCGTGTGCTCCACAGACCAGCTTTCAATCGTCAAGTTGACATCAAGTGCACCATGAGACACTAATGACTCGCCACTGGCAGTACGCAGTGGTACTTGAAAAGAATGCAGTTCTGGAATGTACGAATTTTTCTGTAACATCGAGTAAATAGCGGTGTCAATGAGCGAGACACCCGCACCGGTATCAATCAAAAACAAAACAGGCACGTTATTGACCAAAGCCTTGACATGCCATCCATTAGTCCATGTAAGAGAAGAAATCATAGTCGAGAGAAGTGGGTCCATATCATCATCTAAAATCATGTTAGCAGGGAGTGCGGACCTCATCCCTGCTGTTCCGAGTTTAAAGACTGGTTGGGAGTGGGAGCACTACTTACTGGTCTTTGTTCAGTGGTCTGAACATAACACTGTTTTACATCATTCCCAAGTTCATCTACTGCTCCTTCGATTTCTTCTACTCGCGCTTCCATTGTTGTCCATTTAGCCTCCAGTACCTTCATTCGAGCAACGAAGTCATCCTCTCTCTTCATTTGAGCGTTCTTTCTATTTCTGCGTGACATATTATGTTTAGAAGATATCCTGGCGTGCTCTCGCCAAATTTTGTAGCGTACCGGCAGTCTATGTAATAATTATCCAAGTTCAGAATATCTTCCAATATGATCTGACGTCAAGTTTCCTCCCAATATTCACTTCAATTTATACTATTTTGTTCTATTTATTAATTACAATCTTAATACAACCAAATACTCCAATGAAATCAATGAAACGAAAAGCATACAATAAAAATAACAAATACCAGGCAGTACAATATGAGAAAACAATAAAAATTAAAGACGGACCCTGAAATCAAAGACAACTTTCAATAGCAGCCAGAATAATCCTTATAATACGGTACACTAAACCAGCTACTTACAATTTGCAAAATAGGCTGAGAATAACCCATGAGGGGCACTTTAAAAAACCCACAAACAATTCCACAGGTGCACAAGATTTGAACAGCACTGTTGATAGCCGCCAATTTCATGAATAAACTAAAAATACAACGCCAAAACAACTGTAATTGCACTGTACTGGTACTAAAACCATAATATCATCTTACTGTCTAGCATCAAAATATCTAACAATCCCAATCTAATAGTCATAAAACCAAGAGTAAACATCTTTGATAACCTACTTGAGACTTAGAGGCACTTTTGCAGATATAAAATACTCTTAAACACTCAAAATCTAACTGAAACAATCACAACTGCACTGCTGCAAATCACAGCATAGGCTAACAGGATACCAAAAAACAAATCGACAGTGTCAAAGCGCCCTCAGTGTTAAAATACAAAATATAGCAATATTATCACATGAATGACAACATTTAAAAGATAAAACAAGGGTCGTCACATTACCCCCCTCTTCTAGATGGAACATTATGACAGAATGTTTTCATCTTCATTAGAAAAATTAAACAACGAAAGAAGCAGTAGTCAACACAAAATATTTACACAAAGTCTTTAAAATATGCAGGTTGTCTACGCTCACGCTTAGACATCCTTAAAGTTTGTCCTTCTGGATTGGGCAGCTCGTACCAAGGTATTATTTCCTCACAAGGCTGAAGATCCGCCCCTCCTGGTGTGTGTTCCGCAGAATTCGCCTCTTCCGATGTCTGTCCCCCCGAATCCGGCGCTTCTGGTGGGTGTTCCCCCCAATCCGCCGGGCTATCATCTAGGCAAGCACCGGGTTCCTGGGTCTCTTCATGAAAAAAAGGTCGCAAATTATCCACATGAACCACACGCGTCTTGTCGCCTAGATTCAGTTGTATCTCATAAGTGTGATTTGAGAGACATCTCCTAACTGTGAAAGAACCCTGCCATGGAGAACTCAGCTTCTTCTTCTTGGGTGGGTAATAGTACCATACAAGGTCTCCCTCTTCAAACTTCTGTGGTTGCACATGAACATCAAAATTTCTCTTCTGTCGCAAGGCAGCTTGATTCAACTGATTTCTGGCACATACGAAAGATTCCTCAGTGACATCTTTAAACCATTCCACATATTCGGTATAACAAGAATGTAGAGGAGTTTGAGTCGGACGTCCATACATGACATCGATAGGGAGGTCAATCTCTCGGCCAAGCATAAGACGATTGGGTGTAAACTGCGTACTTTCATGCACTGTAGCTCTGTAAGCCATGCACAGATAGGGAACATGGTCATCCCAATCGTCTCGATGATCGTTCACATAAGGCTTGAGCATTTGCTGAATCGTTCGATTAAACCTCTCCACTTGTCGATCGAGGGTGATAAGGTGTTGTATGCGTCTTGACTATACCGTACAAGTCGCACATCTCGGTGAAGTTCGAATCCTTTCCTCCGTGTATGTGTCCATCCAGTTACAGCTTGTTGGTATCCCAGGCAAGTCAGCATTATACAGAGGTGCTACTACACGAACATTGATATCAGGTTCCTGTGAAGTAGACACACAATCTGGGCAGTCCGGGCGCTTACAGCGTCTGATTTGACGAGATAGACCATCGGCATTACCATGTTTAGTCCCTGCTCGATGTTCAATGCTGAAATCATACGTGAACAGTGTGGAGATCCAGCGAGCCACCTTCCCTTCGGGTTCTCGGAAATTTAAAAGCCACTTCAAGGCACCATGATCAGTGCGAATCAAAAAGTGCCTTCCCCACAAATAATGGCGAAAATGTCGTACGGATTGAATCACTGCCAACAACTCCCTTTCAGTGGTACAGTATCGGCGTTCCGTCTTGGATAGAGTTCTGCTGAAATAAGCAATAACATGTTCTTCCCCATCTTGCAATTGTGATAACACAGCACCAGTACCAGAGCCACTTGCGTCGGTGTTCAAAATAAACTCTCCCTGAACCAATGGAAAAGCCAGGATAGGAGCAGATGTCAAAAGACGCTTAATGATTCCAAATGCTTCCTGACAGTCACCACTCCACTCAAACTTCACATTCTTTCGAGTCAAGCGGACTAAAGGCGATGCTATAGTGGCATAACCTGGTACAAAACGTCTATAATAGTTGGCAGTTCCCAAGAAACTTCTAACATCTGATACCCCCTGAGGTGTTTCCCACTCGACTATAGCTGCTACATTGTGAGAATCACAGCGAACCCCTTCAGCAGAAATTTCGTACCCCAGGTAGGTAACTGATCTACGAAACAACTGGCATTTAGTCGGCTTGAGTTTCAAACCAGCATCCTGAAGTCGAAGGAAAACCTCCCGCAAACTGCTCAATGAAGTGTCAAAATCGGATCCGTGGGCTAAAACATCATCCAAATAATTAGAACATTCTTTCCCGATAATTCCACCCAACACTCGATCCATCATCCGCTCGAAGGTTGCAGGTGCATTGGATAGACCAAAGGGCATGACTACAAATTGATAGTGTCCTTTTCCCGGAAGACTGAAAGCAGTTTTCGCTCTGTCCGACGGATCAACTTCCACCTGCCAGTAGCCGCTAGCCAAGTCAAGCGTCGAGAACCAACTTGACCCGCTAAGGGACTCCACGATGTCATCGATACGAGGTAAAGGGTAAGCGTCCTTGTACGTGATTGAATTAAGTAATCTGAAATCGATACAAAAACGAGTAGTGCCGTCTTTTTTTGGTATCAGAACAATGGGTGACGAGTATGGACTGTCACTCAGCTCAATAACCCCTTGATCCAGCATTTTGTCAACAGCATCCTCTGCTATTTGTCTCCTTGCCCAGCCCAAACGTCGCGGAGCCTGCCGAATAGGCTGCGGTGTTGTAGTTACTAGGTGATGGCGAGCAACCGATGTACGCCCGAGTTCTCCATCGGGGCCGACAAATATGTCCTTAAACTCTCTTAACAAAAAAAACAATTGTCGGTACTGATCAGCCGAAATTCCTTCCGTCGATGTAATCAAGTCCTGAAGATGGTCAGGTAATCCATTGAATTCTTCCGCCGTTTCAGAGACTGGCGCCACCATTGTTTCACGGACAAAGTATGGTTGAGCGATGCCAATTAAAGATCCTGTGGGTAGGACAGCATCATAGTCGGTCTCATTGTTCATCCAAACGGGTACCTCCTTCTTAGACGGGTCAACCAACGTCAGCGAAGCGACCAAATTGAGGTTGCCTATCTCCACTGGCTCAACAACGGCTACTATGTTAGGTCTCTGGACGGGCCACGGCTGCTGTAGCTGAGCGAGTACAACAATTCCAGAGCGTGCCGGTATTACCACATCCTCCTCTACCGTCACACGACAGCAAGGAACCGATGTTTGTTGCTGCACAGTAACATCTTGTCCCCCAAGAACAAAGCGACCCAACGAGGGATACAGAACACAGTCCCATTTGCCAAGATAGTCCATACCTAGAATGCCCATCCGTGACCCTAGATCAGCGACAACAACCGTGTGCTCCACAGACCAGCTTTCAATCGTCAAGTTGACATCAAGTGCACCATGAGACACTAATGACTCGCCACTGGCAGTACGCAGTGGTACTTGAAAAGAATGCAGTTCTGGAATGTACGAATTTTTCTGTAACATCGAGTAAATAGCGGTGTCAATGAGCGAGACACCCGCACCGGTATCAATCAAAAACAAAACAGGCACGTTATTGACCAAAGCCTTGACATGCCATCCATTAGTCCATGTAAGAGAAGAAATCATAGTCGAGAGAAGTGGGTCCATATCATCATCTAAAATCATGTTAGCAGGGAGTGCGGACCTCATCCCTGCTGTTCCGAGTTTAAAGACTGGTTGGGAGTGGGAGCACTACTTACTGGTCTTTGTTCAGTGGTCTGGGAACAGTTTCGGCTAATATGCCCTGGTTGTCCGCATCGGAAACAAGTCGGTCCACCCGTGTTGTTTGGACAATCTCGAGCCCAATGACCCGTTTGCTTACAGCGTGGACATGGTGTGGACGGTAGTGTAAGAGCTTGTGGACTGCGACAATCACTGATCCTATGCCCCACCTGTCCGCATCTGAAACAAGAGGTACGAAAAGTCGGAGATACGCGGGATCTCGACGTTTCCGCAACTAAGGCCTCCAGTTGTGCCAGGCGGTTTGAAATCTCCTGGACTATATCAGCTCCAAATATCACCTCGGCCTTATCGCTAGAAATCTTTGCAACAGTAGCCCTTGGTTTGATCACCTCTTTTGCGGGTTCCCATGACTTCTCATAATATTGATATCTGGTAGCCAACGACATTGCATCTTCCAATGTGGCGGGTTGCAAAAGACCAATGTGCAAACGAACTTTGTCGTCTAATCCTCGCAAAAATTGCGATTTTGCCAAGTCATCTCGGTCAGCGGGTCTCAAGTATGGATAAGCTCGCCTAGCAAGCTGTCTCAATGCAACGCCAAATTCATTATAGGTTTCTCCTGCCAACTTCACGCGCTGACTAAAAGCGGCTCGAAGCGCTTCAATACCACCTTCCACTTCAAAATACTTCTCAAAATGGCGTACGATCGACTCAAAACGTTCACGCTCATCCATAGACAATTCTAATAAATGACTCAGGCCATCGCCTACCATGCAAAGGCCCAATTCGTTCCCCATCGTGTCCATATCCCAACCATTAGACTTGGCTATAGCTTTAAAATGATATAGAAATGAGCCCCAAGGCTCCGATCCATCAAACTTCTCCGGCTGTCTTTCTGGCCTGAACATAATCCCAGATGCACTAGTGCAACCCTTTGTCATAGGGGTAGAAAAACCAACCGGATACCTGGGCATGATAGGTGGAGACTCCATTTCCGGCATCGGTCTACTCCCGCAGTTGTTGTCAGGTGGTGTAACTTTTGACTCAGTGTGCTCTGCCTTGTCACTCTGGTCCTCCCTCATCACATAACTCTGTGGTGCCATTTTGCCTGCCCCTTCAGCTATTCCTCCGGATTCGTTCAAACCGACTTCGGCACTTTTGCTTTTCACTAATGTCTCAATCACGTTCTCCTGAAAACCATGCAGTGTCACTTGCAGCTCCTCTCGCCAATCTCTCACATCTTGATTAAGTACCATCGCACTGTCATAACACTGTTTTACATCATTCCCAAGTTCATCTACTGCTCCTTCGATTTCTTCTACTCGCGCTTCCATTGTTGTCCATTTAGCCTCCAGTACCTTCATTCGAGCAACGAAGTCATCCTCTCTCTTCATTTGAGCGTTCTTTCTATTTCTGCGTGACATATTATGTTTAGAAGATATCCTGGCGTGCTCTCGCCAAATTTTGTAGCGTACCGGCAGTCTATGTAATAATTATCCAAGTTCAGAATATCTTCCAATATGATCTGACGTCAAGTTTCCTCCCAATATTCACTTCAATTTATACTATTTTGTTCTATTTATTAATTACAATCTTAATACAACCTAATACTCCAATGAAATCAATGAAACGAAAAGCATACAATAAAAATAACAAATACCAGGCAGTACAATATGAGAAAACAATAAAAATTAAAGACGGACCCTGAAATCAAAGACAACTTTCAATAGCAGCCAGAATAATCCCTATAATACGGTACACTAAACCAGCTACTTACAATTTGCAAAATAGGCTGAGAATAACCCATGAGGGGCACTTTAAAAAACCCACAAACAATTCCACAGGTGCACAAGATTTGAACAGCACTGTTGATAGCCGCCAATTTCATGAATAAACTAAAAATACAACGCCAAAACAACTGTAATTGCACTGTACCGGTACTAAAACCATAATATCATCCTACTGTCTAGCATCAAAATATCTAACAATCCCAATCTAATAGTCATAAAACCAAGAGTAAACATCTTTGATAACCTGCTTGAGACTTAGAGGCACTTTTGCAGATATAAAATACTCTTAAACACTCAAAATCTAACTGAAACAATCACAACTGCACTGCTGCGAATCACATCATAGGCTAACAGGATACCAAAAAACAAATCGACAGTGTCAAAGCGCCCTCAGTGTTAAAATACAAAATATAGCAATATTATCACATGAATGACAACATTTAAAAGATAAAACAAGGGTCGTCACACCTGCTTGAACATCTGTCTTAGCGGCTACAGAAACTGCAATTATTTCTGATTGGTTATGGTTAAGCGTTAAGGTTATAAACAAGTGAATCGATGCTCGGGGAAATCCAAATGATAAAAAGCTAAGCAATAAGCTATTGTTACACACCAAATATTGTAATTCATATGATTTTAATAGTGGACACTAAGAGAGACTCAAAAAAGCCAATAAAAAGGCTGAAAAGCCAAACGGAAACTCTGACGCCGAACGTTTTTGAAAAAAGCTAAAAATTGCAAATTCGGCCTTAAAAAAGCCAATATGGCAACCCTGATTTAGCACGAGAAACGTACACAGCTACAGTTTCGCCGAAAGCACACGCCACGAGTGTAAGAGTGCATAATTACTCTGCGTGGGTTCGCGTGTTCGAATCCCATGCAGGGGTGGTTATGTGCGAGAGGATTGCTTGACTCATCGCCGTCGTTGGGTGGTTCACGTAATTGAAATTGCAATACTTTCTTTATAGTGGGGTCACGAACATTTATAATATATAGTTTTACGAAAATTGGAGTTGTAGAAAGAAGATTCGGAACCACTATCCATGGCAAGACTAATGAATGCGGTGACTTCCTACACGTTTTATAGTAGTATGCACATAGTTTATAAACCGGTGGAAATATTCCAAATGAAACATTGTTATTCACTTGATGCTACTGCTGATGTTGGACATTTTTTGCAAAACGAAAACGAGTATGAATATGAAATTATTTAAAACAATAGCATATTGGCGCGACATGAAACCAGACATCAGCCTGTGATCGTGTGGAATGAGTATAAATAAAAGTGAACACCTGTATATTATTTCTCCATTTTGTCAAGATCTTCGTTTGGTTGCAATTACGCGCAGTTGACCTAAATATCTGGTTGTGTTGGTTATCGAGTTTTTCTCACCAGGACACCAACTTACCTCCTTGAATATTTCTTCTTGATCACGTTATGGCGAAGCACCACCCAGATTTAATCTTCTGTCGGAAACAACCAGGTGTTGCCATCGGCAGGTTATGCGAAAAGTGTGATGGGAAATGTGTCATTTGCGATTCATATGTGAGGCCTTGCACTCTAGTGAGAATTTGCGATGAATGTAATTACGGATCGTACCAAGGAAGATGTGTTATTTGCGGAGGGCCCGGCGTTTCAGATGCATATTACTGTAAAGAATGTACAATACAAGAAAAGGATCGGGATGGTTGTCCGAAAATTGTAAATTTGGGAAGTGCCAAAACGGATTTGTTCTATGAAAGGAAGAAGTATGGTTTCAAAAAGAGATAATGTACTGAAATTGTATATCACAAGTGTTTGCCTGCTGGCCTGTTTTATTTGTGAATGGCATTATAGCAAGCATCGAATGTATGATGTACAATTTCAATGCGGAATAAAATGTCAAGCTGGAATTACACAATCTGACAGTCATGAAAAGTGAACATTTGGATATCTGACTGTTGGCAATTTTTATTGTAAAACTCTACCGGTTCATTCTTGATGACTGAATTTGTCACAGCGACTCAAGATAATGAGGTAAAAATACTTCGAAACATCCAATTAGAACAATGTTATCAATTCATTACACGTGGTGTTTCGCAATGCTAGAATGCTACTTCATCAGTTTCGAAGAAGCCTATGGCTTCCCAACTGAATTATGAAACAAATTACTAGTCTATATAAAGCTGTGTAATTCTGTTGCATAATTTCTGATTCTATACCTGTATGCCCTATTTGTTGAAATTCAGGTATTTTTCGCTTTACTGTTGATGATAAAAAAGGGATGGTGTTGATTGTGGAATAAAATTTTGAAATACTGTTGTTGTAATTTATAATTTTTTTGTTGTATTTTGCCTCCCATTCTTACATGCTGCCACTAGTAATTAGACTAATTCGAACTAACTTGCTGAAGGTTTTGAATTTAATTGAGGCTACATTGTTCAATGTTTGGTTTCTAAGATTGCGAAAGGTTGAAAAATCGAAATGTTCAATGTATCGTCTTGGTAAATAATTTGTGAATGTTTTTCCTCTCTGAAGTTCATTTCTGCAAATTGTCATTTATATTCTGTGCAAATTTATAATATTTTGGAATACTGGTTATTTTGATTATTCGCTTATTAAAAATGAAATCCTCCAACCTCTTTTTATTTAATGCTTGCATTAATTTGAAGTTTTTTTTCATTTCGCTTTAGTGGACATCTATCATTCAACATTTTATTTAAAACTTGGTTTATGTACGAATTTTTTTATTCGTGTCGCAATTTGTTGGTTATCCATCCGTGTATTGACTTTTTCAAATCAACAAACGAATCAAGGGTATTGTTAGTATGTCAGATAGCAAAATAATTGTGGAATTCAAAGTAGCCTATATATTAAATTGACAATGCGAAGCATTCAATATTAACTTCACTTTAATATTCGTTCCACAACTTGGGATGTCACCTTTTATTGGATGTGAGACGTGTCTTCTCTGAGAATAGAGATATTGAGATCATTTTCCCAAGTATATGTCGATTTGTTAGTTGTTATATTATACATACTTTTATTTGAAAAAAATTGTATATGTGATGACCGAAAAAGGTGCTCATTTGAATGCCTCAGACCAAATGTACCCTCGTTGCCAATGCTTGTTTCCACTTCAAATTCAATTTTTTATCACACAATTCAATGATGCTCATTTCCTTTTTAGTTGTCAATATCAACTAGATACTCCTAAATTAATATAGCATTAATGATGTGATAGTTATCTGAGAGGATTACTAATTTGTAAATCTGCAAACAGTAACACTACGAATATAGACAATGAATCCTATTGTTAGTGGATCTGAACTTGATGAAGTGGAAGATGCTGTTCCTCTTAAATGGGATAGATTTTCTCGCTGGTTGCATTGTGTGTGTGTCGTTACCTTCGATCTTGAACTTGGACAAGCACTAGAGTTTAAATATCCAGAGCATGCCGTTTTATCAGACAAAGAAAGAAGTAATATATGTTATCTTTCATTTCCGGATTCGAATTCCGGATGTATGGGAGACACACAATATTGCTTTCGTATACGTAGAACCTCTAATACAACTGATGGTGATTTAATTTCTGTGAATGTTGCCAATGATTTTCCAGCAGTATTGCAAGAAGATGATAACCATTACTATGGATATGTGTATTTCCGACAAGTTAGAGACAAGACTTTGAAACGTGGATATTTTCAGAAATCTGTGGTGATTTTGAGTAAATTACCATATTTCAACTTTTTTAAAGAAATAGCGGAAATTGTAGCCCCAGAATATTTTGATCATGGCGAAGCATGTCTTGAAACAGCATGCCACGATGTTGACCAATGGCCTAGACCAGAACCAGGACAGACACTTGACTTGCCACTGGTGGGTACTGTTGTGCAAGTAAGAATACCATCAAGGTGTGATAAGCCTGGACAGACATCATCTGCTGTAGCGAAATCGGCCAAATTTCAGTACTCTATATCTTCTGTACATGAAGTTGAAGTTATAAAATATTTCCAACCAGTGCTCATTCATTCACATTTATTATGGGAACTTGTACTACTTGGGGAGCCATTAGTTGTTATGTCAACATCTCCAGAGGTGTGTGCTAATACCGTTTTGTCGCTAATTTCATGTATAAGCCCATTACGGTATGACTGTGATTTCAGACCCTTTTTTACAATTCATGATAGTGAGTTTAAAGAGTTTACTAGCCGTGCACAAGCTCCTCCCCGAGTTTTACTTGGGGTCACTAACCCCTTTTTTACAAAGACATTACAACACTGGCCCCACATCATTCGAATAGGTGAATTGGGCATGTCTTCGTCATCATCTGCCCCATCGTTACTCTCATCTGATAAACTGAAAAAGGCGAGCAAAATGAAAACCTTTGACACAAAACCAGGTGTTTACACAGAGTATAAAATGTTTTTAAAAAAAGATAAAACATTTTTCAAGTCCCTTCTTAGAACTGGTCATCGATTTACTGCGCTTGATTCTGTAAAACTGCGAAGACATTTTCTTGAACTAACTCAAAGCTTTATGATTCCCCTTGAACGTTACATGGCAAGCTTGATGCCGCTTCAGCGAAATATATCCCCACTTCGAGCTCCACCGGTTCTAAAATCATTTCGACCTGAAGAATTCTTGGCAACTGTAGATTCTCAAGGACCCCAGCTGACTTCTGTCACCAAAGGAAACTGGTCTGGTCTATATAAGAAATTTTTTCAAAGTCCAAATTTCACTGCATGGTTGAATAGTCGTCGAATGGAAATGGAAAGTAAAATTGCAGCTTTGCATTTAGCAGGACTTAGTGAGATGGACTTGGTTGCCTGGTGCAAAGATAAAAGCGAAGTTGAAATTGTTGACATGATTTTAAAATTGAGAGAAAAATTGGATTCGGTTAAAAGACATGAAGTTGAACTGTCGCTAGCAAAAGTATCCAACCTTCAGAATCAAATGCTAAGTATTGTTAATACACTGCCCAGCGACCTGAAGTTGGTGTTGAATATAAAATAGCTTTAAAATTATAGTTTTTTTATGTATTTTATCATGTTATCAACTTATTGTGATTTATGTAAGTTCGAACTTTTTAAATTTTTCCATCAGCACTTTATAAGTGGGAAATTATAGGGAAATTTTTTACTTAAATTGCAAAACCATTAATAAGCTGTGAACTACAAACCTTTCCAGTCTCATAGACATTCATATGAAAGTTGTATTTCTGAGAATGAAACTCAATATGACGATGGGAAATTCTCTTCTCATAGTGGCATCAGGCATTGCTCTAATATAAAAAATTAGAGTTTGAAGTTGAACATTTGTACAAATATACACACATGAAAGGACGTTAGGTAATAATACTGGATATAGTTAATTATCTTGAAAGTGTATTCATTGATCAGGTTAAAAAACATACCTGGTAATATTGCTAGAGTTTTTCTGTTATCGTCAACTTTAGGATATTTTTACAATGGTGAGGTGTATGCTACAGATAAATGAAAATTATCACAAGATGACTATCATTATTTGCAGTGTGCACCCTCAAGCAATTTGCTAGCATCATTGCAAAAAGGAACAACAGGTTGATTCATGGGAAGTGACAGTTTTCTGGGTATTCTTCTCTGCAATATTTTTCACATCTTCAAATAGTCTATTAAAAAAATTATTGAGTGCTTTGAGCTGTTATTTTTAAACTTGTGGCCCATAATAGTTGAATTGTTTTTGATGCCTGAATTTAGGATTCATCAATTGATAAGATTATTTTACTTTTTATTTGGTATTCAAGGGTAAATCTGTAATTTAATTTATACATGATCTTGCATGGATTGATTCCTAATCAGGAAATCTGGAGTTTAAATTGGTTAGTTATATTTAGATATAGTACTGGGCTTAGCTAATTTGATTTCTGATTGGTAATTGAAGGGATTATATTTAATAGAGAACATCACTGTATTATTTATATTTAAATGTGTGAACAGATTATTGTACTGACTAAATCAGGTGTGGGATAAAACTATAGAATAGACAGGAGGTAATGCTTGTCAATCAACCACCATATGTGTTCATTGGTACAGACCTCGATATTTATTTGACATAGAAATGATATTTGTTCTGAAGTCAAATCAAGGTGAAACCACTGGAAATGGTGCACAATCAGTCGCAAAGTTGGTGTTAACAGAATTTTTATATGCTGTATTGTCTGTCCGGCTTCGAATTCCGATAATAAGCAGCATCGTGTTAGCTGTATGACTCGATGGCATCTAATTTGATTTTATTTGTATATTGTTCTGTATCACAATTTCTTCATATCTATGTATATTGCATCTGGTTTTTACTTCTTTTAATAATAAATTTATGTCGTGAAGAAGTTTATTAATTATTTTTGTCTTAAGTATGCTGAGTAACTTGTATGCCCAATATAAAGTATGATCGCGAAGTGTGATTGACACCCCCAGTGATATTTTCTGGTTTGCAAGTTTGAACTGCCGTAAGTCTCAAACGAATGCCACATCAGATGCTAGTTTTCTCGCCGACCATAGATTGTGCAAAAACTACCCATAAAATAAAAAGTGCAATTATTTTGACAAGTGTAAATAAATGCGGAATTTATTTGTCTTGATTATTACTAAATGAGTAAGCACTCGGCTTCATGCAACGTTCACCCACAAATTGACAGTTTGCCGACTATCGAACTCATTCGACACCTAATTGCGGTCTGTATTCTGATTTCGACTGCCTCTTTGCGTGATTTCCCTGAGGTCCTTTCCAGTCCCTGCCTCACTCACTCTCACGCGCTCATGTTGGATCGACTACATTTGGTATTTTTCGACGCCCTTTTAACTGTGTTTTTTGGATAAAATAAGGACGCTGGACGTGTGCCTCTGTTAATTTTCAAAAAGGGTCATTTAGATTTAGACACCACTGATCTCTTAATAGGTCTTACTAACTAGTAAGTTGAAAAATAAATGACCACAATTACTTACAGCTGGTGCTCTTTTAAACTAAACCTTCATTCATCACTTTTCAAAATCCAAAGGTAAATTGATCAAAAACGAAAAATGCTTTAGGAAAGAAGTTCCAATATGGATATGTGGATTTTGATGTCTAAAATTGATTGGGTTGAATTTACATAACTATAGTGAAAGCACGAAGTGATGCAGCAATGCTAATTTTCATGTTTGTAGGTAAAAACATACAGTTTTCTCTATAGTGAAAGCATAATAGTTCCAATATGGATATGTGGATTTTGATGTCTAAAATTGATTGGGTTGAATTTACATAACTATAGTGAAAGCACGAAGCAATGCTAATTTTCATGTTTGTAAGTAAAAACAGACAGTCTTCTCTATAGTGAGAGCATAATAAAATTTTTGAGAGAACGTTGCAATTGTAAGTATATATGTTGCAATCTACTACGGACGCATTTGACCATGGCTATTCGTTTAGTACAGAAAAATGTTAATTTCTTTCATGCTGGCACGTAAAAGTTTCTCCCATAGGTCGAGAATCTCCTTTTATAGTGATCTGGGCTTTTTTAGTTTCACTGCAGGACTTCTAACTTGGTACTGGCCTGTGAAAACGGTACATTTAGCACGAAAACGGTACATGGAGACCATCAAAAGTATGTACCTAATAGCTAGAGTCTAAATATTATTCCGAATGAAGTAGTCAGAAACACACAACTTCAAAATACAGCTGTGGAAAAGTCCTCAGATCTGCAAATTCCGCCCGAGGGTGGCGATGCATAGCTTTAAACTTCAGTATTGCCACCAATATGCGGGGGAATTTCAGTAAAGAATAATTAGAATAAATTTGTAGATTTGCATAATACCATTCGCTTCCATGAAATGTGTCGCTCACATGACAGTATGAACATCTATCTGCCGACTTGGTTAGCAGGTTGGCGCTTTGGTGCGAGTGTTACGGACCATAGCGTCCGTGTTTATGCTGTGTATATAATTTTTTGTATTTGTATGCTTAGCCCTTATGCTGTTTTGGCGGAAACAAGTATATATTGTGATATCATCTGAATTTGTATTATAAGACTCCGACCACCCATTACACGTGCAAGAGGAGGCTATCTATGGCTCTTCTCGTCGAGAAAGGCTGGACGTCGGCTGTTTTTAGTTGTGTTTGCTGTCATTATTACTGGTATAAGTGTAAGAGTTGCCGTGCAATAAACAACCAATCCGGAGTCTTCTGACACTTGCTTGCTTTGCATCAGATGCCGAATATTACCTCTCTATCTTATTTTCGTTTAAACCCCAGCTACGTGACACATTTTATGCCAGGTATTCATTTATTTTTGCTTTATCATCTACAAAGTCTTACACATTGTAAAGCAAAAACATTAGACTTTCTGCGATGTCTTTAATAACATTTTTTGCTCATTTCGGATAATAGGGTAGCAATAAATTCAATATATACAATGCTTCAAAACTGAAATTAAGATCTGTGTGAGCAGGTTATACGACCAGAATATGTCTGAACTCCATGCGAGATGTTTTAACTTTGTAACTTTTGTTGTTTTTCACCTTTTTATTATTCTTGTTCTGAAAAGGAAAGTTTGTTAGTTAGAAATAACTCCATTGCCAAACCTTATTATTTTGGAGTAAAATTACGCTATTCTAGAAGGCAAATGTTCAACATTTTATTTCCAAATTGAAGTTTGAGTCACTGTGCTCTCAGGAAAACGCGTTAATGACAAACCGAAGTACCAGTAAGCGTCTTACACTGAAATTCGCTATTGGACATTTCAAAGCTATCCGCTATCGCCAAAAAGCATAATAGTGTAAGACACGGTAAGCTACTTGTGGCAATTTTAATCTTCAATTTAAAACAGGAGTCTCAAACTTGCGGCCCGATAGTTTGTGGTCACCGCCTTAGTATGAACCAATCACTAACGCTTAGATTTATATTGATACGTTGTAACGGTATGTTAGTCTTTGGTTGTAACCATGTTTTCCACGGGGTGAGACATCACTGTCAATCGGCTTGATTGAACAAAAATGACTAAGAGAATTTTTCAATTTTTAAACTAAGCTTTTATTGTGGAAAATCTGATGCGGCCCTGACCCACCCAGAGTCAAGGGGCCCACAAGTAAATTGAGTTTGAGACCCCTAATTTAGAATTGAAGAACTTACTCGCGTAGCCGTGAAGGTAATTAATTACATGTCGTGAGAATATGTGACTAACCACAGTACAGGTAGCATATGCGACGTTCTTCATGATCATTGAAAAGCCTAAAGTCACAATGGCATATCAAGTCCCACCGCGGGAGCAATTCACTTGAGTGCGGGCAAAACTTAGCAGTGAGCACCGCCTTTATCGTAAACATATTATTATGGTACTGGTCTGACGTAATGCCACGCGTTGGCGCAATTTTCGTAGAAATAGCAAAATTTTGGTTAATAAAATATCGAGCTTCATAGGAATCAGAGGAGATTTGAAAACAAAAGGAATAGCCTCTAGCGGTTTCAACCATCATTAACTACTGATTTTTCCAAACAACAAATGCCACCCCAACAATATATCAACACAATCCATGTGTACATTTCGTGTCCAGTAATTAATAGAAAACAACAACATGGAGATGTCGGTAGGCGCCCAGAATCTCCGCTAATAGTCGAGGCCCGCACTCAAGCAACAGGTTACCATCCACAGAAACCTACGGATATATAACGACAGCGTAATCAAGTGAGCGAGTCATGAAACTACCAGTTCATTTAAGCGCTGCGCGTTTCGTGGACATTCTTGCGTGATGATATGCTGTATCTAATAACTAAAATAATATCCACTAAAACCCCTGAGGCTTCCCCAGTTTATGGAGTATCGAGACAAAAGGCGATTTGTTCGAAAGAGTATTTTCTTCTGGGAAAGTAGCGTTCTTGGAATTTCAATGTCAAATAATTGAAAATTTCATAACGAACGGCGCGTTTTTTCTTTGTTGTCGTGGGAACGAAACTTCAATCCGGATTTTCTATAAAAAGCACATTACTAGGGTGACAGGATAACGCGCGTAATTTCATCCAGCCGTTTAAAGCAGGGGTGTGCAATCTTTATTGCAAAAGGGTCAGATACAAGTAACTGGGTGAAGCCGCGGGCCGCACCTAGGAACTCTGCCTACGTAAGGCCAAAAACCGAAATTTAAGGTGTACTTGAAGTGATATTTGTTTCTTTTAGAATATTTCAATGTGTTGCTAGAAGAAGGGATGTTCAATTTGAGTTTAATATTCGAATATCGTTTTTCGTGTTTTTAAGAATAAAGCGCCGCCGTCCACGTTTTGATTTAATTACTGCGTTACGCAGCGACGTTATTATGTCGCCACCTAACTGCTCTGCGTTCCTAATGAAAAACAAAAAAGTTTGGGAACCACTGGTATAGATGGTGCTATTTTGTCTGGTGGAAATCTCAAAGAAACATTACATCGAGAAATTCTGTAACTCTTTGCCAGCCTTGCAAGCTCAGTTGGCAACAAAATGAACGAAACTGCACTTTTGGTAATGAAAGAAAAGTTTCCGAAGATGTTCGATTCAACTTTCCTCTTTTATGCAATATCTGCTATTTTATCACAGTATAATTTTCGTTTCGTTTGACTGCCAATAGGTTTATTCAAAAACTTTTTCACGAAAATCTTATACATAAATATGAACAGAGTGTCTAATAACTATATTTCTTTGCCCTTGAAGTTGAGTATATAAAAATTGAATGCCTGATTCAAGGATCGTTGAATACGATTACTCTCTCTATATATATATATCAAAGGAAAATAGAGAATGAAACTGCTTATCTCTGTTGACAACCATGAACAGCCAGAAATCCCCTTGCACGTGATCATACCAACTGGGCTTGAACCTGCAAATTTCCTTAGGGTGAGGGCAAAGCGTATATATAATACTAGGTAATAATAATGGGTGAGGGCTAATTGTATTATAAATGGGCTTGTCACCGCCCTCTGATATCTCAGTCCTTTTTTGAATAATAATTACGGTGATTTTAGTTAAACAAATCCCTTGTCTATAGCTGAATATGCCTATTTATTTGGCACAACTCCGAACTCCGCTTTCATGGCTTAGGTGGATTAATTTGCGAGTCCAAGGAAACGTTCAACAAACAGAGCTAAATCTCCATCAGTAAATTACCCCAGTGGAGAGAAATGTTGATAAGACGTCTTATTTATGGCGACCACTGCCTCTCGCGCTGTTACCAATTCATGTCGTGTATGGGAATGGTTAGCCAATTATTTGTTTCATATATAGGATAGGATTTACTTATTTATACGAGGATGTGAGAGGAAAGCCGATAAGATGGCTTAATCATATGACGGACCATCGTCTCTCGTCTGGTTACCAATCCATTTCGGATGTGAAA